GGTCCTCCATGTGGAAAGAAACCTAACCAAATGAAAAATCTAAAAGTTTACAAGCTCATAAACTGATCAGTATAGTTTTACATTCTCTTAAGTGTGCAATACTTTCATGGACTGTATATCAAAGAAGCCACTCATTGGTTTCTGGTCACCTCTGTACTATTTTTTGAACAACTTATCTTCTAACACTCTCCGAGTTGGTGAGCAAACTCCATCCAAAAACTTTACAGACAGACATATCTGCTAATTGGTGCTAAATAACAGACTAATAAATGGAAACGGTGGAACTCACTAAAAGTAAAGCACAAATGTTTTGAAGAGACTGCACCGTGCTGGTCAAAAAGGGGAGCCTTGATGTACAAATTCTCTCTTGTTAACCACAGTTAGCCAATTTTTAAAATATTTTTTAAAGCAGATCAAACGCAGCTTGGTGTGTGAATAAACAATCATTTTCAGGATGAGGTTTGGCTAATGATCAGTGTGACTTTCAATCTCATCTGTTAAGCAGTATGAAATCCTAAAACTCTAAATTAATAATTTGACTAGTTCCACGATTGCATTATTTCTGGACAAGTTGCGCTATGACTGAAGTCTTCAGAAAATCTACTAAATAGACATCGTGGTGAGAATATTGTTTTAGTTGCTGTCGAGCCTGAAGTAAAGCTTAAAAAGCACAGTCTTACATATATTTTTAGATGCATCGTTTGTTAAAGGATATGCATTTTCACAAGAGCACAAAGACTAATGTAATTTCCACAACAGTTGACAGGTTTTCTGTTTGAGAGGGGAATATTTACAGGTTGTGTAACGTGTTGCCATTAACAACAGGCTGTTCTCATAGAGCCATTTACATCGACTTGCTGTTATTGTTAGCATTAGCATCTCTAGGCTCTCTGCTGCAGTAGTGAATTAGAATTAGTTCCCACTTCTACAGTTTTCAAGTGGAGCCACCTTCATGTGGAGGTTAGAAATTTCAAACCTTAGCCTAGGGGATCTAGTTACTTACCACACATTTCCATATCTTCCCTTTTAGCTTCCATGCAAATCCTGGTGAGTGATGGTAATTGTACAGCAAGCCGGGGCTGAAAAACATGGGCTGCAGGCTAGCATGCTGCTGAAATGTCTCTTTGAAAGCACTGAGACTTAAACTCCCACACCAGGCAGAAAGAGATGGAAGCAGCCTGGCTATAAATTGCACTGCCTCACCCAAAACAGAGAAATCAAAACCTTTGTAGAGACATTAGGGTGGTAATAATGTTTGTCAGAGTCAGAGCAGAGTAGAGGTTATATCCCTAGAAGCATCGTTTTACTGTAGCTACAGTAACTTTAATCATTGCAGGCTACATCCACATTGTGTACCTTACTCTATGTCCAGATATACAAAGCATAATATAAATATTATAGACTGCAGAGCTGGGGTCTAAACAACATAGGAGCTCGGAGCATAAAGATTCTTTGTCATAAACTAGCTGCACACTCTCAGCCAATGTTACTGTATTATGTTTATGGCTTTGTGCGTGTGCGTGTGTGTGTGTGTGTGTGTGTATGAGATGATCTCTCTAACCCCTTTATTTCTGCCTCTGTCTTTTTGTCTTTCTCTCTATCACACACATACCCACTCTTTCCCTCTCTTTGCACATTTTCAGCACTCTGTCCCCAGCACACAGAGTAATAAGCGCCTTGTCGCGGCATTATCATAATAGGGAGCTAATAGTGGAGTAATGGACTGATGCATTAGCGGCATTCTCCTGATATTGCCGCCGCACAGTGTCACACATTTTTACATTGTTCCCTGCTG